CATGGCGCCCATGGTTGTTGTTACTGTTTTTGCGGTGGCTGTTGTTTTTTTGGGTTTGGGTGTTGTTTTTTTTGCTTTTGTTGGCGGTGGCGGTGGAGGGTTTTGTTCGGTTTTTGGGCCGCCCCATCCCGTTGGTTTTTGGGGGGGTTCAAAGGGAGTTATGTGGGGGAACGCAAAAGAAATCCCGCTTTAAAGGGGTTTCCCAGTGTTTTGTACTTTAAAAAGTTTACTTAGGCAGGCCCTGTCGGTCCCGGTCCTTAGGCGGGGGGGGGGGGGGGGGGGGGCAATGTACGCGAGAGAAAAAGCCGACGCTACATTGTATCTATCTATTAATCGACAAATCAGCGACATTCGGTCGGATTTCTGTACAAGGCGCGAGCGGGCACAATGCATGGATGGATGCTGTTCGCTGTGGTTTGTGACGCTGTGGCAAACGCGGCTTGATACATGGCATCACGCAGCCATCCATGCCTCATAGCCAGGACAAGTTGGGCGGGGAAAGCGATGTTTTACCTTTTTTCCTTTCTCCTGTGTGTGTGTCTTTTCTTTCAGCATCGACCGCGCTATCCGGCTGACCACTCAAAATACGCCGGTCCCGTGTGATGTGTGTGTGTGTCTTTTTTATTAGCATCTACCGCGCTAACCGGCTGACCAATCAAAATACGCCAGTCTGTGTGTGTATGTGTGCTCTTCGGGATGACTGCACTATTATACCAAGCAGAGAAGAAACAGCTCCCGCGTGGCCACGTCTGATACCGTGGGGGTCCCTCAATATTGCCTGTTGAATAGCGCCACTGGTGAAATCGTGTGACACGGATGGAATACAAAATTCAAGTTGTATCATTCACCGAGCAATACATGTATGTATTGCTCTGCTCGGTGCCCGATTTAGTACCGGCGAACCTGGCGGGCACATAGCGGCAACACTGAGGGGCTTCCACTGCTGTACCTGGTCAAATTCACGACGGTGCCGCGAATCCGGTCGTCAATGTACTTGGATCGACATGTTGCAATGGCAGGGAGATGTAGTCCAATGCACGCCTCGTACACCAGGAACATAGCGGCACCACTGAGGGACTCCCACTGCTGTACTTGAAACGTACAAACTGCATAGGCTGGAGGCAGAGTAGATGGGACGAACGCCCAGACACAACCACTGCGACTGACGTATTTTGATTGGTCAGCCGGTTTTGCGCGGTCGATGCTAATACAAAAGACACGCACACACACTTGCGCATTGTGGCCCCCTTCCCTTCCAGGGATCTTAATTATACCCGCTGGCACTGCCGTCTGTTCATTCGTTAGACGATCAGGCGGTCGATGCTAATAGTGGAAACACACGGTTAGGGCGGTCGATGCTAAATAATAAACACACACACACACGTTTGTTTGTCTTCCATGCATTCCTGTTGTGTTGTGGTACAATATACATGTATGGTACGGTACGGTACGGCAGGTGGACCTCGACAACGATGTGGTTGAGATGGGTGGCGAGGAGGCGGCGACGATGCCTCCCCTGCCGCAGAAGCGAAGGTCGAAGCTGCTCGCCAAGCTGGCAGAACACGCGCAGCTCGGTCACTGCAGAACTCCAGGTACGCATGCTGTTGCTGTTGTGGTTGTGGGGGTTGCTGCTGCTGCTGCTGCTGCTGCTGCTGCTGCTGTTGGTGTTGTTGCTGCTTGGTGTTGGTGTATTCTGTATGCTGTTGCTGTCGTTCTTGTTGATTTGTGCTAGTGCTACTTCTAGTGTTGCCAGTCGCTGGGGTCATCGTGAAAGTACAGCGCAGTACAGCCCTTTGTGACAAGCAGGGGACAAGCTTCGCATCGCCGTGTGTAGCAGTAGCATCCCTTCCTTTCCCACACCATCCCAACTCTCCCTCATTGGATTCGAAGGACGTTGGAATTGCTCACGTCATTGTGACCATGGAAGGCGCCCGCGTCAGTTGAACCAGTACTGATAATAGTATATGAATATTAGAAGGTACTGAGCGGAGACCGGAACGGTTTTTTCGTGTGAAGACAACAACAACAACAACATGTTGCGGGGTACGAACGAAAAGCCCGGTGTCTGTTCGCTTTTTGTTTTTTTTCGCCTGGTGTGGACCGGAGCGACAATCACGGTAACTTGTCTCGGTATTGCGAGAAGTACACCAAGATGCCGCGGGTTTCGGACGAGCTCTCTCTCGCTCTCTGCCTACCCCCCCCCCCGCATGTGCCACGTGGTATGCCAGCATGGCACATGGCACCGATGCACAGGTACTGTATATGATGATTTACCTCCTTTTGTCACGGAACCTGGCCGGAAGCACGCACCATTCGTTTCCAAAAGTTTGTCGTTGTTCTCACGCCCCTCCCCCTCTCCTCCGTTACGCTTGCCACTACCCCGAATGGGGTCGCACGAACCTCAGCATACCGTCAAGACGTGATGCAGAAGAGCGATTTGGCTTTTTCGATGGCCATCAGGCCTTGCGACTACGACGACGATGAGCTGGATACGCCGCCTCCCGACTGGGATGCCGTCCGGTAAGTTTTGTTCTTAGCATCGACCGCGCTAGCCGGCTGACCAATGAAAATAACTCGGTGCCTGCGGGTGTGTTCGTGCGAGAAAGACGACATGCAGATGCTGTATACTATACAGATTTGTTTTTTGTTCTTTTGGTTCATCTGAGCTCTTCGAGTCAACTCATATCACAGAACAACGACGCAGTCAACCTCCTCGCCTTTCCATTAATTGGCGCGCGGTTCTTGCGTAAAGAGAACTGGGGACAAGTACCACGATTCGACCCCCCCCCCGCAACCCGTGTCTTGTTCTCACCCTCACGTCAGCTGTTGCTTCTCTGTGGTCCTAGTTCCCCCGATGCACCCAATGATGATGCATATGCCTGCCATTTTTTTTTTCGCTTTTCACTTTTCGCTTTTCGCTTTTCGTTTCGTTTTTTTTTATAGGGAGGCGTTCTTGCGGTTTTTCGTGACGTTTCTGTCCGGCTACCGGCGGTGCCTGGTGTACCCCACCAAGGCCAACCCCAACCCCGCAAGGCTGTTCAACGTGGACGACTACCTCGACAAGCTGGACCGGGACTCGAGACCATTTGCGGAGGCGATGTGCGACACACAGGTGATGTAAAGAAAGCGCCGTGTCGCCGAAAGCCCGTGCGTCATGTTTTCTGTCCTCGACGTGGTATGTGAGACAAACGCACGGTTACATAGTGCGGAGGAAAATCTTGTATTGCCCTCTTGTCTTGCCTCTGCATCATGTTGTCTGTCCTTGACGTGGTTGGTGTGTGAGACAAACATACGGTTACACAGTGCGGAGGAAAATCTTGCCCTGCATCATCTTGACTGTCTTGGCGTGGTATGTAAGACGAACATACGGTTACATAATGCGGAGGAAAATCTTGTGTTGCCCTGCATAATCTTTTCTGTCTTGACGTAGGGTGTGAGACAAGCATACGGTTACATAATGCGGAGGAAAATCTTGCCCTGCATCAGGTTGTCTGCCCTTGGTGTTCGAGACAAACATACGGTTACATAATGCGGAGGGAATTCAATTCTCCTCTTGGTTTGTTGCGGGTTGGCTTCTCCACCCAACACTTCATCGTACCTTTTTTTGCCCCTGCCGGATTCTCTCTCCTTGTACCTTTTTTTTTGCTTCGTTCCGCCCCTTCACATGTGTACGGGGCAAATCCCTTCCGCACCAAAAACAGGCGTTTCAGAACTTCATTGACGCGCGCATCCAGCCGGAAACGGACGACCTAGACGTGGTCTTCTTCGATGCGTGCATAGCAGCCAAGCGCAACCGCAGCATGCTCCACGTCACCAAGAAATCGGACGCCAACTTCTTGCGGTGAGCCACATAGTCTATATATTGCGTCCCCACAACTGAAAAATATTAATTAAAGGGAAATGGACAAAAGTGGGTATACCCACGCCATTCTCGGACAAAAGTGGGTACTCGAAAATCCAGCGCGCGCGCCCTCCATAGGCGACCCCCAAACGACTCAAAACCCCATTCTGACACCTGGGCGACACAGCCAGGGACCATACACAGCACGGGTATCGATTATTTCCCACTTTCAGGCACATCTTTGGCCCTAATACCGCCGAGGCGCGCAAGGCCTCACCAGAGTGCCCACTTCTGTCCGACATCGCGGTGGGTATACCCAGCGGCGTCAACCATTTTTTTCATGTACCCACTTGTGTCTATATTTTGACCCACTTTAGTACAAATTGTACCCACTTTTGTTCACTTACGGACAGCGGAAATCGAGCGGAAATCGACCTCCACGTCACCGCACGGCAGAACATCGACTGGCCTCGGAACGTCTCAGAACCTCCCAACACCGAATCCATGGCATCTTTCCTATCCATCGCTGCCGACTGCGGGCCGACCGCGGAGGAACATGTCAGAAACATGCCAGACCCCTTCGGTACCGGCACGGGAAGATACCCGCGGCAAGCCCGGCAAGCATCGCACTAACGACATGCCACAAATAAATGCGTGACACACAACGGACAACAAAACCAACGGGCGCGCATACAGAACAAAAAGACGCGCATATAGCAACACAGACACAAACACGCCCCACACACACAAAAAAACACCGACCACCATGACGAGTGCACACCGACTCGTGAGGGCAGCAGCAGCAGGTCGAGGCAGTTTACCACCCAACTACTACGTGATGTTAAAGGTATTCATATGCACTACATGTATGTATATACGAAGTGCAAATCCGACCGGATATCCCGCGGTCGGTCCGCCGTCAGTAGCGATGGATAGGAAAGATGCCATGGATTCGGTGTTGGGAGATTCTGAGACGTTCCGAGGCCAGTCGATGTTCTGCCGTGCGGTGACGTGGAGATCGATTTCCGCTCGATTTCCGCTGTCCGTAAGTGGACAAAAGTGGGTACAATTTGGACTAAGGTGGGTCAAAATATAGACACAAGTGGGTACATGAAAAAAATAGTTGACGCCGCTGGGTATACCCACCGCGATGTCGGACAGAAGTGGGCACTCTGGTGAGGCCTTGCGCGCCTCGGCGGTATTAGGGCCAAAGATGTGCCTGAAAGTGGGAAAGAATCGATACCCGTGCTGTGTATGGTCCCTGGCTGTGTCGCCCAGGTGTCAGAATGGGGTTTTGAGTCGTTTGGGGGTCGCCTATGGAGGGCGCGCGCGCTGGATTTTCGAGTACCCACTTTTGTCCATTTCCCTAAAATAAAATACACAAAAACAAACAAGAAACATCAACCGAAAAACAACATCCACAACAAAAACAAAACACATCCAGATGTATTTGTTGCTGCTACAAGTACCCTACTATAGTACACGTCACGATCGGAGACTTGGTACCAACGTGCGATTTTTTTTGTTGTTGTCACACCCCGGTAGATACAATTGCCAACCCTGGCACCATCTCCCGTGATTTCTTCGGTAAAAGAGGATGCCTAGAATACACGTACAGTCAAGGACAGTCAGTCATCCCTCGGTCAAGGACATTCATGGTTTTTCGTTATAACAGGGAGTATCCTTAATAGATACCTCCCGTTATGTTTATGTTGTACATTCTGCCGGGCATTGTGCTTTTGAGAAAAAGGCGTCTTTAACCGGGGGAATATCGACGCAATGGCCTGGTGTCCTCACCCGAGGGACGACTGTATTGTACATTCTACTTCTTCCGCGGACGAAGTTGCAAGCATGAACCGAGCACGCCACCGCCCCCCCCAAGTCCCTGTTGCTCGTTGCTTGGCTTGTCTTCTGTCCTCCCTGTTTGTTGCATACCTTTGCCTTATTGTAGCCTTAGTGCTTCCTTCTTGTCGTTCTTGTCTGCTTATGGCTATCAGCCTTATTGCGTCCTTACCCTTATCCTTAGTGAGTTTTCTGCTGTTGTTATTGTTGTTCTCGTGTTGCAGACCTGACACGTTCGTCAAGGCGAAGACGGTGTTCGCGCTAACCCCAGACACGACGGGGCTTGACATGACGGCCCCCGCAAGGTCTCACGAAAGGTGAGTGGGTGTCGTGACTTGTGACAAGCAGTTTTTTGTAGTCGCCCCCGCCCCTCGCCCCCCTCGCTGCAGTGATGCGATTTGGTCACTTGGATACCGTACATGACACAAGATAACACACCCCCTGGACCATTTTTCAAAGCTCGACTACGCCACGACGAAGAGGATGCATAAATGGAACAATACATTTTCGGAAAGCTCTCGACGAGACAGCTTCAATGCCACCGTTTTCTTCGCTGTGACTGACTATTTCTGCTGTCGAGAAATAGAGATTTGAAAAATCGGTCCAGGGGGTGTGCTATCTTGTGTCATTTACGGTAGGCCAGTGGTACGATCACCACAGCCTAATTCATGAAAGACACAATGATGCCCGAATGTTCGTTTTTACGCCTCAAGAGCCGACGTTTCCTCTGTCTCCCCTGACCTCGCACACGACATACAGCACGGTGCTTGCTTTGCTCCTTCACACTCGCTGCTACAAGGACACACGCCTGCCCGGTTCGGTGTTGACAAGTCGGTGTGGTGTGCCTACCCGATCAACATTCGATCAACATTCGAGAGACTTTTCCTGCCTGTTGACGTGCCCCCTCCGTCCCAGCCCCTTGTCGAGATGCGAGGGCCTCTTGGCTCAACATGAAATTCACTGGCATTCATGAAACTGACCTCTCCCCGCCGGCTTTGTAAGGATGCGAGGTCAATGGTCTAACACGTACGGCATGCACGACTATGAGTACCCCCCCCCCCTCCCCCCTTCCGTCCT